GATCTGGTCAACTGCACTGCGGTGACATGCAGAATTCAGCTGGTTTTGTACCAACTCGACGCAGTTACTCTTTGAAGTTCTTTGCTATGAAATTGATCTGAGCTGCAGTGAGAAATCAAGTGATGTGTGGAAATTTTCTCACTCCAACGTCTTTTCATATTTTTTTTAATGCTGCTGTTGCTTTCCCCTGCCCTCCTCTCCTCATGTTACTGCTCCTTTCATTCGTGATTTTTATTTTGTATGCTGACAGAGGCCAGGATTTACATGCCTGGTCTGAAATACCCACGAGTCCTTGTCAAGATGTGCTTCAGAGCCAGTCTGGTCTTAAAGGAGTAATTAAAATAAGTCCCATGATGGTTTCATCCAGAAGTCTTGCCACTGCTAAGCTGTTTGCTCTTTTGTTGGGGCATGTGCATATCCTGTAAAAAAACATCAGAAAAAAAAAGGAAAAGAGCATTTTGATAGCAACACAATTACTTTTATGTGTTTTATTTCCTCTGCCTAGACAAGCCACCAGTTTCAAATCTTAGTTTCAGTTAAAACAAGAAAGAAATCTGAAGCTGTTGAAATTGCAGCAAACTACAAATGATGTAAAACAAAACTATTTTAATTTAATTATGTAAATTATAATTTAGTATGTATCATGCAGGGTTTTTTCTAAGAAGTCCCTAAGCAGGATTTTAACACCACACTCATGTGGCAAATAATTTTTTTAATCAACAATCCCTATCTTTCCTTACTCGCACCAAGGAGCATTGGTAGGAGTTAACTCTTACCTTTGCATCAGTTATCAGCATCCTCTGCCTCGGGACAAAACACATACTTTAGAGGTCAATAAAAAAATCGACATTTTAGATCAAAGAGGAGAGTGAATGCACAAGTGTTTAAGACACAGCTGTTCTATCCTTTTACAAAGTTCAGCACTTTTTTCAGCCTGCATTTTTGTACCTTGTTTTATTGACCCATTCACACAACAGTGACCCTCTATACTAGTCAGGGAGCACGTATCAGTATTAAAAACAACGGTTTTATTACGTTCTGTCTCTTGGGCAACATGTTCCTGAGCATGAGATATTCCAGATAAATATCTGATCTGTGGGCCTTCAGGCTAAGTAGAGAGAGATAAGTAAGAGACATTATCCTGAAGAATCACCAGACTCCCTCAGGAACTATTCTACTTTACAAAAAAAAAGCTCCACGGTGCTCAGAAAGCATTTCTTGTATGAGTACAAGTATCTAGAACCATTTCAATGCTCAGTAGTTCTTAAGACAGTTTTCACACTTGGCTGCAATTCTCTGGGTCTTCACTATGACACTTGGGCTATTTAAGCTCTGGTTTGAGTTGGAAGGGAGCTTTAAAGGTCACCTAGTCCGACCTCCCTGCAATGAGTGGGGACACCTTCCACTAGATCAGGTTGCACAGAGACCCAGTCCAACCTGACTCTCAATGTTTTTTGGGATGGGGCAACTACCTTCCCCCTGGGCATCCTGTACCAATGTTTTGCCACCCACATAGTAAAGAATTTCTTCCTAATATCTAATCTGTCATTCTTTAAAACTATGACTCTACTAAAAATTTGTCCCCATTTTACTTGTAGGGCTCTCTTTAGAAGGCCACGATAAGGTCTCCCTAGAGCCTCCTTTTCTCCAGGCTGAACAACCCCAGCTTACTCAGCCTTTCCTCATAGAAGAGGTGTTCTAGCCCTCTGATTATCAGCTGGGGCCCTTCACTGGACTCACTACAGCAGGTCCATATCCTTCTCATGTTGGGGACCTCAGAGCTGGACACAGTCCTCCAGGTGGGGTCTCACCTCAGGGGAGCAGAGGGGTAGAATCACCTCCCTCAACCTGCTGGCCACACACTCAGAATGTTTGGTTATGGTTGTTTGTGGTTTTTTTTTTGAGAGACAACAATTAGTATGCTTTTCAATTGAGAAATATATAAGCATGAGAAAACCCAACAGAAACTAACATCACAAAATCACAAGTCGAAGGTTACTTAGCTTACTTTTAGCTTCATGAAGATGCTACAACCAAATTAAACTGAAGTGTCTTTATGTGGTACCTCAGAAGTTCCCACATATTCCAATGGTAGAGTTATGCTGCCACCTATTGTGAAGATGAACCTGAGACTCACGTCACTTGGCTAGGACACGTGTTTGCAGTAATTACCACTTGTCTTTCAGTTTTTCCTATAAAAAGAACTTTCTTCTGAAGTATCTGCTACTGATCACCGCTGAGACAAGCTGCAGGCACAAGTGGCCTTTTGACCTGACCAAGTACAGCTGTTCATACGTTTGTTTTGATCTCTAATCTACCACAATGTACAGTTTAATTTGGCTCGGGAACATGACTGTCCACTGCTGTCAGCTCAAAGGCTGGTTCAAAATGAGAACCCTATTTCTCTACTCCAATTAGGGGCCAGGGAATGCAGCAGCTATGGTCAGGGAGGCAGCACGCTCTCCTTGCCATAACGCTCCAAGATGTGGTTTTCCCTCCTCCTTTGTGCAAGGAGCACAGGACTGTAGGTTATTACCTGGAACCTGTTCCATGAAACTGAGATAGTGCTTGAACTCTAATATAAACCCATGACTATGCCTTTAGGACACCTTCCTCACAAGCACAAGGGCAGTCCGCATGGCCTTTATATATATTGTGTGCAACTCCAGCAACTGCAGGCACCAGCCCTGAGCAGGAAGCTCTGTTGCCCAAAGCTGCTTTTTTGTGTGCACAGAATTTAGGTAACCTTATTTAGGAGGGCAGCCCAGGCCAGCACACCTCTAGAGGCTCACACCATGAGCAAAGCAGAAACAAGTTGCAGTGGTATTTCCATCTCTCTAAAACTGAAGTAGCTTGGCACTGGTCAAGTTTTGCAGTTCTTGATGTACCTTTCCACACCTTTTTACTTTCTGCCTACCTTGGCATGATGCATGTACACTCTATTCCTTCACTTCCCCTGTAGCATCGGCTAAGCCAACACCTAGGCATTAGGCCACCTCTGCCATCCTAAGGTTGCTTAGCTGGGAAAACGAGGCCATCTGTTCACTCACAGCAAGCAGTGTGCATCATAACAGCCCTTATGCTCCCATCTTTCCAATCCTCCCCACGGCCTGTCTCATTATTAATTTTTTCTTCCAGCTTTAGGAACCAAATGGTTTGTACAAACAATAGGTTTATACAATCTGCAGCACCACTGCAAACCAGTGCAGTACTCAGGAGTCACTCCTGGACAGCCTGGATAGCTGCTCAGGCCAACCAACTATCGGAATTTTTGAATTTACCTTCAGGGCATTCAGCAGCTTCCAAACCACTCAGCAGGAGAGAGAATCTCTGTCTTGAACTGCAGCTGTAGTTAAACCCGAGTGCACAGACAGCAGTGGTGCAGCCAGAGAGGACAGCCAGGTACAAGTGCTGCCAGCAAAACGAGCTCTAGAAAAATGAGGCAATTTCATACCGTTTGCTGTGCCAGAGGGTATGTATTTTTACATTTCTGAATTGATAAATGCAACCAGGATCTGTCAAAGTCAGGGCTGTTTGCAGCACAGAGGCAAATGAGAGTATGTAAAAGAGTACAGTAGCACATTGTACTTTCAGAGTAATATGATAATTTACAAACTCCTTGGACAGGTGTTTGCACTCCATTGTGTCCAGGGAGGGGACACAAGGCACTTGCAGCAATGGAAGCTGTGTGATGGTATCCGTGACACCTGGGCTCAACATCCCACCATTATTATGGGAGTTGACTGAAGAAAAGAGGTTGGGTTCATGGGCAACATTCAGCCTCCTCATCACCTTAGTTGGTTTCTCAAGAAGTAGGTTGTTCTAGGGAGTGAGCTGGGATAAAGATCCAATATAGTCTGTGGTCCTCAGCTCCATAGATAAGCTGCAGCTAAGCAGTAGGAATTAGAAACACTGTCTGTATAGTACAGTGAGGTGACAGAGTCCTCAGTATCCCTTCCCAAGTACAACCTGAGCACATTCAGATACTACATTCCTAACAGACCCTTCAGCTGTAAGCTGCACATTTCTAAGCTTCTTCCCTACTCCTGGCAACTCCTGTTGCCCTTCCATATATTTTAGAAATAGGAGAAAGATCTCACTTTCCAGTCATTACACGACTAGCACACACATTATTTGCATGACAGTCAAAAAAAAAAAAAAAAAAAAAAAAAAAAAAAAAAAAAAAAAAAAAAAAAAAAAAAAAAAAAAAAAGGTAAAAAAAAAAAAAAAAGGCATGTTTGGGTTTTAGCCCAAATCCAGGAGCCATCACATCAGATAGGCTTAACTGTTCTGAAAGAGCTGAGGTCCAAGTCCTGGGTTCACTACACAAGGTCAACCTCTCTCTCCCAAGAGATGTACGTATCTTGAAGAAGTTTAAATCAAGATACAGTATCATGACTTCAGACTCAAGACTGACTTCAGAGTAAGTCAAACACTCTCAGCTTTGTCTCAAAAGTGACAGATTCCAACCAAAACAGTACCTTTGCCAAAACATGCCATGATCCCATCCCTATACCCAGTGGCAGTGGTTCATCATTCTCAGTGATAAACGACAGTACATGCACACAGGTACTTTTTTTCTTTTTTTTTATTGCTGTTAATTCAAGGAAAAAGGTTGCATAAAATCCAATCTCTTCTAGAAATATAAGTGACCTTTCCAGTACATTTCAAATATCAAAGTATATGGTAAACATACAAATAAAGAGAAGGTAACATACCTCCTATTTACAGTACAGTATTTTAAATCATAAAATAAGTTCCATAAAGTACAACTGGCAGGTAATTCACAATACAAGTCCATTGGTGGTTTAACACCCTCACTTAAACTCAAACGCAGTTCATTCATTTCAAGTGGTCCAAAAATACCCAGATCAAATAAAAATTTTAATCAAAATAATTTTCATTTACTACTTAAACTTTTTTTTCTTTTTTTAAATTAAAGCTTTCATCTACCTCCCTCCCCATCCCCCCCCTCCAAGAAAAAAGTTTCAAAATGTACACTGGTGCTATAAATATAAATGCTACCTATGAAGAAATGTAGTAATCAAGCTTTTTTTTTTTTTTTTCTTCAAGTTTTTTGTTTAGCAATTTATTAGATGGCTGAACCAAAGATTGATTTTTATTTCATCCCTCTACCGGACACTGGGTCTGATTTTAAGAAAGAATATTTCTGCCATGAACTGTGAGGAATGCCAAACCCTATGGATATACAGTGGTAGTTGTTCATCGGTGTTGAATGCAGCAGTCAAAAAACACACTCGTCTTCCAGATAACCTCAGTGCACTTTAGGAAATCAAATATTACCTGGAAGCAATTTAGTACATATATTGGCTTTTAAAAATAAAATAAAAAATACAGCAGCATTAAACTTACTCATGATACTGACATGTTTAATACCATCTTAACACTCATTTCAGTCTTTCACATTATACCGTAATTACGCATAGTGGTAAATTGTTATAAAATAGTGACTTTGCTATTTGGTAGACAGGTTCTAATACTAATACCTGACTATTTTGTAGAAAACCATAGCTTTTGTTCAGTTTGAAATAAAACATTTACATTCTAAGTACAATGCAACACTGTAATAGTTTAGGAAAAAAATAATCAATCAAGTAATGTTCATTCTGTGTTGACACGATGTGGAATAGCTTTAAAAAAGGAAAAAATGCTGTCAACTTTCATTACAAATGCAAACACACTGAGTACAACATTCATACCATTTTTTTTCACCTTTGTTGCTGAACATACAGGCTAAAAAGCTACAAGGGAAGAAAAATCTGTCAATTTAGGCTCGTTCGTTTTCCTCAATCTGTTCCGGTCCACACAGTTTCAGCCCCTTCCTGCTCTATGTATTTTCATTTATTTGGGCCTCTCAAGAGCTGCGTATATGAATTATTATCACATATAGTACACATAGAGTGTTGTGTTTTCCTTTGGACTCTGCTAATAGGACGTTTGAACATCTCCCCTCAATTCATGAGCATTAAATTTAGAGTATGGGCAGGGTCTGTATGAACTGCTAAACACTCATGCAAGTCCAACGAATCCACGTGGACAACCAGGGAAAGAAAAGAAAACAGCAGCATAAAGGAGAAGAGGGAGGGAGGGAAGAAGATTGTGGTGGGGAACACGACCAAGTTTCTTCTTTCACCATATGGCTGCTCCACCAGTGATGTCAGAGGTCAGAGGAATTTTTTTTTTTTAAAAACTGCAGTAAACATTGCACATGTCTCAAGTCCTCAGTGCAAAAGCATGGTTCGAATGCTCTGTCTGATTGTTTGGCTGTGTGTTTGAATTACATGCATTATGCAAGCCTTTTGTAGAACCAGGAGGAGACCAGGGACTCAGCTTTCTTCTTTTGTACGGAACAGAGGTGCAAAAGCAATGAAAAATTCCAAAAGAATATAAAACCGGGAATGTCCCAAAACACGAGACCAGCCCCTCCCTCCCACACACACACACCTTCCCCCAGCTTCCCAAGCTTCAGTTTAAGTAGGCAATGTTTACTTGTTTCAGTCTGCAGAATCCAAGGTATCATTGGAAGGGGGAGGGGGAGGTGCGTATCTCAGTCTGTAAGTGCCTAAAACAGGAAAGAGAACTACTAAGTCACTGCTCACAATTAAAATGGATTACAAAACCACTACAAGGTATCAAAATGGACATGCTCTTCAAAAGGCACTATCATCCTCCAGTCCTTTTAAAGTAAGTCCTTAGACTTTACCCTGCTTTCTTTCATCTGCTTGCTAGAACTGTAAATTTTAAAAAGATATAGAGCAGAGATACAGGACTTGAGCTTTACTGGGAAAATGCAAAGAAAAGATGACCCCCATCAAGGTTCATCTTTCCTGTTCCAGTCCAATCAAACAAGCGAAGTCAGAATGGGCACAAGTACAAGAACCAAAAATAGCTTATGCTCAATGCAAACACTGCACTTTCCCCCATTCTTCTGGATGGCGAGAGAAATGGAAACCTTTCCTTTGATTTTTTAGTTTCAATTGGTTTCTGCTTTTTGCTGCAACTTGTCTGAGAAGTTAAATGTGTTGCATAATGGGACACAGAAGGATAGCTGACTGGGCAGAGGTAAGCCTTAGTTAGACTACGAAATGGCCAGTCTGTTGTTTTTTCTTTAAATTCTCACAAGTTTTAGAAATCCAAGGTCATATCATAGACAGCAATTTCTCTTTTTTGCCAACGAATTCTCTCAAAAAAGACCCCAGTGAATGGGAATGGAAAAATTGAGACAACATGGAAGTCTCGACATAATGTCAAAAGCAAACCAGTGAAAAAAGGAGGACAATTTAGGACTGGTATCATTTGACTTTCCAGCTTCAATTCACACCCATTTTCAACTTCACACTGTGAACCCCGTTCCCTTGCACTGTTCTACAAGATTTTCAGGAGAGATAAGATACTTTGTAGTTTTAGAGCAGGTCACTAGTGCACAACCATTTACACAAAACATACACACGCACGCACACCTTTCTGCAAGACCAAAACCAGCACATTCAGAAAGGTAAAGAGAAACTGCTAAACTCAAAAGCAAGTCCGCTGGGAGTTATCATGATTACCTTGTTGACTGGCCTCCATGGATGACTGCTTACAGTCCTGCGCATAGTGTCCACTTACACCACAATTGTAACATGAAACATTCCCATTCTTCTTGGGTCCTGACCCATTTGTGTTGGCAACTACGTTAGGTGCTGGATATACGGGATAGAACCTCGAAAATCCTGCCATCTGCTGCATACCATAGTTGGCTTGGCTCCCCATCACTGGGTCATGCATAAGCCCGTTTGCATATGGAGACTGAGGCAGGAAGAACGGAAGTTGTGTTCCATTGCTTTGATGTGCTTGATTGAGGTAGCTGCCATTGCAAAGTGATGGCAGAGGGAAGAAAGATGGAACTCTGTAGACTTGTCCATGAAGTGGGTTATGATAAAAATAGCTATTAATCTGAAGGCTGCCATTGGTCCCACAGCTACACCTACGTCCACAAGAACCACAAGGACCAGATCCCAACTGCTGCGGAGGTAACATTGTCCCATTAGTGTTATTATTCCCAACAGCGTTAATGTAGGATGTGCTGTCACTCTGTGCAGTGCTGTGTGTTAGAGCGGGGCTCGGGCTGGGGGCAGGGCCTGGCGTGTGTGTCGGTATTGCAGGAGGAACAGTGGACTGGACCTGACCAACACCTAAGCCAGCGGACTGAGGTGGTGAGGAAGTTGCTCCAGTGCTTAGCACGTTTGTATTCTGGTTGGGCAACACACTGGTAGCGTGAGGACTGCCTGGCAAAGCGTACGAAGCTGGTGGAGGCGGTGGTGCTGCTGTGGAGAGACCGGCTGCTGGAAGAACGACCTTTAGATTGGTAGGCTGAGGGATTGCTCCTGGGTTTCCCTCAATGTGAGGCACCATTTGATTCAGTCCTACCACCTGGGATGCAGGTTTTGTGATGGGATCTGTAGTAGGAACTGGGGATCCTGGGAAACTACCTGGATTGTGGACTGGGATAAAGGCAGTATTTGGTGATCCAATACTTAAGTTTCCTGTTGGCTGCTGTGGTCCATTAACTGTGCAACTCTCCGATGATCCCTGTGGAGAGGTCATTTTCAATCTTTGCATTGCCAGATGCAAAGCAGGGCTACCAGGCTGGACAGAATGTGGAAGAAAAGTGGATGGGACTGGCAAAGGGGAAGCCATCAGCTCAAGACGTTTCTCAGGTTCACCAGAGGTGACTGGGCCCATTCCACCAGGCGGGGAATTCGCAGACTCTCTCACTGGCGAGACAGCGACAGGTGTGGTGACAAGCATTCCCATCGTTTTACCATCTGCAGATATGGGCGGTGGGACAACTGCTTCCGGCTTTTGGGCAGCGCTGTGCATCACACAGTGTAAGGCAGGCATGAAGGAAATATGTTGAAACTTTGCATTCAAAGGATCTTCTGAAAGGCTCCCATTTTCATTATTCACTGAAGAGATCTGAGCAGAGGATTTGTTCATATTTGATGAACTGACAGGACTGTAGCCTGTAAACCTGGTTGTATTTTGATTCCCAGAATCCTCAGAATTGCTGTCTGTATCTATGGGGACAAAAGCATTTGTCAGTCAGAAGAATGAATCTCAAGCAATAGAGAATCATGCCCTGACCTCGCCTACCCATATAAAACCTCGTAAGTTTGATGACATGAACGATAGTTAGGTCTTCCTGAACTGTAACAACTTTGAGATTCTTTTCAATCATCCAAATTAAGCTAGGTCCATCTCCAACACTTGCCTATATCCACTGGCCTAACTAACTACTGTGTCTTTGATTTGTGTATATCTGCACATGTGAAGAATAGAATATGGACCGAATTAGGAATTTTCATCTGCCTAGAAAGACATTACCACAGCTTACCCAAATTTGGAAGGAATGGCAAACTACCAGTACAAAAAGATGGAGCTCTCAGACATAACACACATAATTTGATATAAAACCAGCCCCTTTCATACCAATGTTTTTCACATTACTGTACTGTGGAAATTTCTCAAGAGAGCTATGCCACTGAGGTAAAAAAATTACTACATATCTGTAGTAACCTAAAACTCAGTGGTATTCAAACAGTCCTGTTATTTGCTAGAAGCTGTCAAATCATCCAGTCATGAAACTCACAAAGCAAAATAATTTTCATTTACTACTTACTTACTTACTACTCTGGCTAGTTCAGAAAAAAAAAAAGGAGATAATAAAACTAAAATACTAATTAAAATTAATACAAGAAAGACATTAGTCTAGGAATAAAGGCATTTATGCACACTTTCCATAAATACAACCTCTGTCTTTTTCTTCTTCACTATCAAAGCTTTCCCTCCCATCATGTCGTGGACTAGAAGGAGAACTGTAACTTTCAGATGATGTTTCTCCACAAGTATCATGACCAGATCCAGCGTCCAGATTCAGATCTAAAAATAAAAGTTGTCATTCTTATTTTTAATCTCAATGTATGTAAGTGAGGTTATTTTGGTTTGCTCACGTTTCACACTAGTTCAGATTTTTGCCTGTTCCTACTTAATAGCACCTGTCCCCTGTATTCCTAGCATTTCCACGCCCAGCATTCAGGACTGGTCTTGTCCCTAAATTTGTGATGACTGAATACTCGGTGTTACAGAAGGTGACACTGAAAATTGATATTTATGCAAAGCAGTGAAAAGAATGATGACCCTTAATGACTTTTGCTTATACCAGATCGCACTACAACAATAATTTCCTCTGAATGGTAGCGATCAAACATTTCCTTTGGAAGAGCTGCAATACTTCTCGGTCCTACCAGCACAGGCAGAAAGCTAACTCAGCAGGCAACATCAAAACAACACATCATTTTACAATTCACTCTTCTAGAACAGGCTTTAAGCAAACCCTATCAACAAATCCTGTTTAAAGAAAGAGTAGTGAACTGAAAAAAGGGTTAAATTGTTTTCTGATCTCTGAATGGATCATGGGACACTCATTTGCTGCAAACCACCTTTCAGAGTCAGTAGCTACCATGGTTTGGCTTTCAAGTTCAGCCTCAGAGGGGAAGAAGAATGACAAATTCACCCTCTCTCAGAATCTATGGCAGACGCTAGCTGCAAAGAAATCCCAACACCCAAAACATTGGTTGGCAAAATTCCAGCACAAAAAATTAGAATGCTATTGCTTATTTTATTAATTACAATAATAATTTATAAATAAAATAGTATTTTAAAAAAATTTTTTATTGCTACTGCAAGTTTAACAGGTTGGGATGGGTTATCAAAAAGCTGCCTTAATGTTTCAATTCTTGAAATAATTTCTTGGATTAATCCCATAATTGGTTAAATTATTTTAACAAGTGCTCTGAACATCTAATGTAATCTGGAGTCCCAGTGTCAACTTCCAATCACTGAAAACCAGAGTCTAAAGTGCTGGTCACAAAGTATCGAGTCTTAAAAAAGTTACCGGTGTAACTAACCCATGTCTCAGAAAAGCTAAAAATAGGAATGAAGAATGGAAGAAAACACGATGCAGTTAAGAGTATATGGACTCAAAATAGGGCATTCCAAACCAAGCCTGGATATATAAAACTAGGCAGAGATTCAGACTGCAACATGACTTTTTTTTCATTAGACTATGTCTCCAATAAGTATCTCAAAAGCCATTGTAACGTTTATATAGGTAGCAAGCCTGTCTCTGAGCAGGACATGATGGCTTTCAGCTTCTGTGGGTTACAGCTGCTTCTTGAACCAGCCAACAGTGATCAGGCAGGCAGTCTCACATCTGTAGAGTGGGGGTAGCGAGCAAACACAACTACGGCAAAACATTCCCTATCTAACTTTGTCACCCGAACTTGCACCACCTCCTAAACTCATCGACCGTTCATAAAAGCTTAGAGCCTGACTACAAAAGCAGTAATCAATCAGAAATGTACACAGCAAAGTTCTGCTGTAGAGTATGTTTTCTGCTTGTACAGCCCTTAACTATAGGTTTGCAAAACTGTTCTGGTTTTGCTAAGTTTGTGAAATGAATTCTTAAAGTTTTAGTCAAATACTGTTTGTAGAAGGTAAAAACACTTGCCCAAAAAACACATCAGTAATTCAGAATGGGATCCGCCTGGAACTCTCAAATGTAAGATGCAGAGAGAAGAAAGAATGAAAGCCTAATCAAGATTGTACCGCAAGCAGAAGCAACAGAAAGACAAGGCACTTTTAAGAATCCTTACAACACTTATGCCAATTAGGTGGTGTAGGAAAAGGCAAACTCTTTGTCAGCCTTCTGTCGTGTAAACTACATATAAGAGAGGCAAGGCTGCAATTGTTATTGCGAACTTAGAAAACACCAAGAAGGCAAAATCAATGGGTAGACCTTCAGAAATTTGTAAAAAAGCTTGGAGACTTGATTTACTAAAGGAACACAAATATAATTTTGTCTTAAAACTGACCGATGTACATAAGTTTTGGCCTAGACACTACATTTTGCTGGATTACCCAAACCTGAAAACCCTGCTAGGTCAGCATACACAGTTCTGTGTTGTAGCTCAGTAGTCACTTGGTTTACGCACTACAGTTCATCGACAGTTTGCACCAGAGGTTTTTATAAAGGTTCCTCATGGGCCACTCCACAATAGATGAAGAAACCAGTAGGCTGTAAAGAGAACACTAATGACAATATACAGGGCCTCCACACACTCTAGACTGCTAAATTTCATACAGAAGTAGCCCAACAGTAACTGTTTCTGCAACTACTACACCACATAAATCAACTTATGGAGACTTTACTAGTATTTTGCCACCTAAGCATGAAAAGAGACACATCCTATGCAACTGCATACAGAAGACTGAGTCTAATGTTCTATACAGCAAGCCAAAGCACAAACTAGACTACCAACATGCTGACTTTCACCAAAACAGATTGCAGACTTGTGATTTCCCTTTTATAGAGGAACTTGAATAAATCAGCAAAGCTGGAATTCTGTTTCTCACAAACAGCTTGGGAGAAAACACCTTACCTTTTGCTGTCCCAGTACGGATGTGCTGTGATGCTGCAACTCGAACTCCATTGCTCCTATTATTCAACCGGCACTCAGGTTTCTTTGCTTTCTCCCTGTGTAAATAATTCTCATGGGTATTTTTGCAAATGCATGGACACAAATAACATACCATGAATGAACACATAATGCGAATGTAAAAAAAGCAGTGACTCCAGGCCAGAAATGTGTATTTAATACATATAACATGAAATTTAAATAATAAATTAATAACTAAAGGCTGCTAGTGCAATATACCAGGAATTAGGCTGCAAACAGTGTTATTAAATACTATGAATAAAGACCTAAATAAGAAAAGACACAAAAAAGGATATGGTGCAGCTGATGCTGTACACCAGTCTAGCATAAAAGCATCTGGGTATAGAGTAACAAAACGGCACAAACTCTGAAGTAAGGCAGATTATAAGGCTGGAAGTGCTTTCACTTCTCACAGTGCAGGGTTGTGTCACCCACAGGAAGTTCTGAAGCCCTCTGATGTGCAAATTATCTTCAGTAAAACATTTCAGCCAGTTACCACCCACTGCATGATGTTAAATTCCGCTGTCAATCCTTATTTGATTTTCAGTATATTTTGGACAGTTTAACACCTTTTAACTTTCAAATAAATATAAATGGAAAAAGGCAATTCAGTATTGGTTAAGAACCTACTTCCAGTCCTTCATCCTTTTGCTAAATGACAATGGATATTTTGAGAAATGAATCCATTCATTTACATTCTCTTTTTCAAGTTACTTCTTTACGGAAAATAAAGATTTTTATGTAGCCTAGTAGCCTGGCCTCACACTACACCAGCTCTCGTTCCACAGTAGCAAAAGAAAGCATGTAATTGATTGTAGACTCTGTTTATCAGAGTCAACACGTTACACTCTGTTTCTGGACTACCAGTCACTTTGGAAACCTACTTTTCCAGCTGCGGTTTTCCCTTCTTCTTGCTTACTGCAGACAGACTTCGTTTTTCCACTGTATGCTAGACAGAAAATACAAAGATGCCAGTAAAACAATAGAACTTGTATTATGAAAGCCAACAAAAAACCCTTCTAGATCAACAGGTCCCTGAGTCCAAGACTAGTGCACTAAAAAGTGCTATAACCATCCAAATAAGTAGTTGTTCAGTGCACCCGGGCCTCCAAAAATAATGCATCTTGTCTCGTGTTTATGCCATTATCAGCAAAACACTCAGCAAATCGCTACTTCAGAATTACTACTAGCTGTTAGTAATAACTCATATTTGGCAAAGGTATCAATCAAATTATTTTTCGCATCCTTGTCCTTTCCTCCTGAGGATAAAACCAAATGTGTTTCATCACATACCTGCTAAAAAGGCTAATCACCAGGCTTAACGAGCTACAAAAGTTATTGATGTAAATGGAATTATTTGATAGCTAGGGGTGGGAAGTACACATGACAAATTATTTCTACATAGTGACAAGCAGGTATCTAGCCTTAAACTGGAGGTTTAAGTTAGTAAACTCTAGAATACAACCTAAAAGCACATAAGAAAAAAACACAGCACCTATACAATCCTTTAAGTATGCTATTGCTAGCTATTAGTAATAACTCATATTTGACAAAGGAGTAAAATTTGTGAAAACTCTGAAATAATATGTCCAAATGGTTGTATTTGGACTTCCTTTAAAAAGAAACAGCTTTTCCTCTGCTTTAGTAAATTAACTTTTTTCTTGCCTCAAGCTTTCAGTATTTCAGACTTTGATGCAGCCTACCATTTCACCTTAAGAAGCAATCTCAGGTCATTACCCTGCTTTGTGAAATAAGGAAACTGTTTTTGTTTGGCTTGCTATTCCCTGCAAAATAGTCAATAGCCAAATTCTGTGTGTAGTGTAAGAGTAACATTAAGCAATTCTAACATTCAAGGTTTTTCAGATATAAGCAGTGAGCAACCTTCCTTCTCCTAATTTCAGTATATTATTTATAAATATTCTTCTCATCTATATTCATAATGAGGATTGAGCACTGAAGAGACGCAAATCACACAAAAAGTGTCAATGCATCTAGCTATTAACTTTTTTCAAAGATTAGTACTTAAGTTACCTAACTAATGCAGGTAAGATAGAACAAAGACATTTAACCTGTTGTAGCTCCTGTAGAATTAATATGATTTAGTTATTAATACAGTTTCTAGTTTGTTCCTTGCAATCAGAGTAATTGCCCAGGCATTCTGAAATCCTCTCTGATGACAATGCTACAGTAATAGGAAAGTGCCTGATTAGAAATTAACACTAGACTTTTCTGACTACTTGTATCCTACTGGGAAGTTTTATTTAATTCATAAACAAAATACGCAACTTTCTGAGGCAGTAAGTAATTATGAGTTTTCTAATCAAGGTAAGCCAGTAGCAACTTGAACTTCAATACCTATTTATACTTTTAGCAGGGTCCTTCATCTTTTAAAGCTAAATCTCATCACATGTAGTGCACAGTCTTCTCAAGTGCCTCAGAATATGGCTTTGAATTAAAAATAGCAACATACCTGGTCAAGTAGATTTGTACAGTGCTCTGGGTGCTGCTGGACAATACAGCTTTTCCTTCTCCAGTCCATTACCCCATTTTGCTCTGAGTGCTGTATGTTAAGGCTATCCAGTGAAGAACATTTTGCACTGTTAGTGCTGCTGAAAAGAAAAAAAAAAAACAAGTTACGCTGATGTGAACAAACTTGCAGGCTTTTCTTACCAACATACACATATTTGCACCAGAAAACCCTCAGAATTTTCAAGCAATTTAAGATACAAATTGCAAGAGTTCTTGTGCTCTAAAGTTATACTAATGATCTGAACATAACTGGAGTTCCTTTTTCATTTGTCTACTATAATTTGATGCAAAATTCAGAATAAAAGAATTTGTAGAGAACAGTTCCCTTGAATATTTCTACACACAAAGATGTGGGTAAATTTTCCAGAGAGAAATGTATTTTGAATTCATCTTCTTTCTTCCTTATTGTTAATGACAAAGCTGGAATTACTTCATAATCCCTATTTCAGAATTCATGAGATATTTAAGAAAAGGAGTGTTACCTACAGATTACACTGCAGCTGTCCTTGTTTCGATTTCAAAATAGTCATCTTGCTTTATATTTTTACCTTCAGGACTGGTAGTTTTGAGTAGTGCTGGGAAAGTGGAGTTGTATTTGGCATTTACTTTGGATGTTATGATGGCTTCCACTGAAGCTTTGCTCTACAGCAGCCAGTCAGAAGTAATATTTAACTAGGTCTGACACCACTGCTCAACAAAAACTGCTGGAAAAACAGTCAGGGTTCTGACCGAGTTTAGTAGGGCACATGGACCTATAAACTTTTCATGCCTCATACAAAATCATGCCTTACTGCTGACAGGATAAAAAAAAAGATAAAGAATTAACACTTTTAAATTCTTATCAAAATACTTAAGTTGATAATTGAAAGTGCTTTTATTTCAGGGCTGTTGGCAAGCTGCTTCATCAAGGTTACTGCAATATGAAATGTTACTCAGTTCCCATAATGGCAGAAATCCAGCTTACTTGAAAGTACAAGCAAGACATGCTGAAATTCCAGTTTACTTACCAAAGACCTCTGTAAATAAGCATTCAAAACTACTTACAAGATGTGCAATAGAATATAAAACAATAATTTAAGAAAGTGGAAAGAACCCAAGAAGATCCCAAAAGACAGATGTAAGCCCCTGATTGAAAAGATGTAAGCAAGGTCACTTGAGAAATTCCACCACATGGAGGTACGTGATTTCACTGCCAAATCTGTGGTCATTTCATAGAAGCTGTGATACTCTGTATGTTTATTTAGTATGTCTGATCTCATTCCTACCAGTAAATTTTTGGACTCCTCAAGAGTAAGGCTGCAATACTGCATGAAAACAAAGGTAGACGTATGCACAATGTACCAATGCTATCCGAGATGAACTGCTCCCAACTCTAGGCAGTTTTATGCATATTGAAAACAAAAGGGCTTCATTCAGTGCCATTTCTTTAGAACTCATTAACAGCAGACACAGATTTTAAGACGACAGACACAGGAACAGGAGAGGAGTAACAGACCTCTAGCAGTAAAGTAAACCCATTTTCCCCTCTTAAACAAAATAGTAGCGAGCTAAAGGAGTTTCTTTCACACAGCTTTGTAGAAAGGTCTGTCCCTTGCTTTCCTATTTGAAAGATAGATCCTAAACTACAGTCATTATACAATGAATAAAACAATTTCTATACCAGTAACTACATGCTACTAAGTTTGGATCCTGCTCTTACGACTTCATAATAGGCTGTTTAACCACCAGTAAAATTATACATTTTGTCAAGATGACACTCTCTTCTTGAAGAAATGTAAGTCAAAAGTAGGACAGTTAAAAAAAAAAAACAGACACAAACTACTAAGTTGCTCAGTTGGTGAGTTCACAAGAATTTTGTTTGCTAAAGATCTGTGGATCTTAACCAACACTGGTTTGTGCTATGTTTATATTCTAATTATTGCAATTCCAGATAAATTTTCACCACAAGACAAATACATTTTACAGATAAATCAACACAATAAAACTGTAAATCTCAATAAATTTTGTATCCATTTTCTCCCTTAATTTAATTGAAGTATTGCACAACTATGTGCAAACATATCCTAAGTTTCTGATCAAAATATATTAATGGGTGAATTCACATTAGGTAATTCATAGGTCTGAAAGCATATATAAACTACTTTATTACGGTTAAGAATTGCTTCCACTTAAAATGGACATAAGCCAACAAGGTATGCATGCATCAGCTAATAAGTAAGGGAAAGAATGGACTACCTTCTCCTATAAGGTCATTTTTGAAGCTACTTAAGCTTAAAATCCACAACACTGGAGATTTTCTGCGTATTCACAGGGATATGCGCGCTCAGGAAAATACATGCCATACAGATTTAAGCTACTCAGCTTATAAACACAAACCAAAATATGAATTCAAATAGTGAAGATTCACAAAATTTGGGGAAATGAGATACCCAAATGACCTAGACCTACAGATTTAGAAATAGGATCATCTGAATTATTTTTCTAATACAGGTTAAGTGTAGTAACCTCACAAACAAAAGTAAGACCACCCCACCCTAAACAAACAAAAATCTCATAAACAAGCTTTAATCTAGAAGGACACATACTCTCAAAGCACTAACAAAGGAAGTTCAGACATGTAGCATGGTCACATTATGTCTTAGTACCTACTTGGCAACAGGACCTTTCCCATTATGTTTCTTGTGAATTGATGTGTGTTGCATTACATCTGGAAAAAATAAACAAAGCATAATTTCAATAGAAATTCCCATTTCTTCCTTTAGATCAATCCAACAAATTCATCTTTCCATCACTACCAGACATATAGCAGAAAATAGCTCCATTAAACAAGGCAAGGCTAATTTACAGTGCTGAAATTAACAGGTGTTGCATAGAGGACAGATCACTTTGTACAGATGATATAATCAAGACTCTTTACCTTCCATTTCACAGAAGAATGAAGCAGAAAGAGAGGAACTATGAAAACTGTTAATGTTTGCAGACCTCTACATTTAATCATAAAGACTAAATGTGTGACTGAGTATCAGTCAGTATGAAAGAACAGGGAGAGAAGACAGGAATGAGTCAGAAAAACCATAAAATTTTGTAATTTTTTCTGAACTGCTGAAATTATTCTCAAAACTATGTCACATTCTGAATAACAAATGAAGACAAATCTTAAACAAAAGTACTTCATTCTGAAAGTCAAAATTCACTATGCAAGTAAAGCTTTACAAATTATATCTGACTAAAAGGGATACTGCTTCAAGGCCAGACTGGATGAGGCTCTGAGTAACATGGTCTAGTGGAAGGTTCCCTGTCTGTGGCAGGTGAGCTGGAACTAAATGATCTTTAAGGTCGCTTCCAACTCAAACCATTCTATGATTCTATGAAGCAAAAATCAAGAACTTTAGAGACACTGTTTACCCATTTCTTTAAGGCAACTGTTAAATTTTAACAAAAGCAACTTTTCTTTATTCTAGCTGTGATGATCTTAGTATTCTTGGTATCATTTTGCATGGACTCCTCTCAATGCTACACTTAAGTCCAAATCATGGTTTAAAAATCTAAGGGGAAAAAAAAAACCCACAATTTTTAAGTTTCTGGTAACAGTTCACTAAAATGGCACAAAAGGTGTTCTGAAATGCATTTGTAGTTTCACCAGGTGAAGAGATTATTGTACATGTATGTGAAAAACTATTTAAGCAATTTCCAAATAAATTTTAAATTTACTTGGTGTGTTCTGAGAAAGAACATGGTAATAATTTTTTTCATAAGAAACAGCTGATCAAACTGCATATGTGGATTACTGACTGCAAACTTATTAACACGAAACAGGATAAGAGTACTGTCATTTTGTGAAAGCTAGAGTAAGTGTTCAGTGGTCTGGGTCCACCTATCAGTCCCATTTCTCATCTTTCCCCCTACCAGGAGCTTCTACCTATTTGCTACCAAAAACAGTACATAGCTGGCTTGCTGTTGCTTTCAGAATGAAATTACTGACCAGCCACTAGGCTGCTGCTTCCATATGTGAACTGTTTTTGAGCAATTGGAAAAACACCAGCTTTCAGACTGTAATCAATACTCACTACAAACTTATTAACAGTTCACAGTATAAAAACAGCATAGGTTAAAAATAAGAAGAGGAACTCCTGAACATCCTTTCTGTGTAAAACCAGAAGCTCAATAAATTGGGCACATTTAATGCAAAACAGTCTGCAGACTCCTGAAATGCTGCACTCAACTCTGAACCCTGGTAACTGAAAAATAAATAGGTGAAGACGTGAAAAGCTACACATAATCTTGGCTTAACTAAATTATAACATATACCTTCCTGTTTGTTCAACACAGTTTTCAACACAGTTGTGAACTTCTGCCTTTGAGCTGTCTATGAAAACTACCACTCCCTGAATTAGAGAGCAACCTCCTAAGGAAACCGCTGGAAGTACACAAAAACTCTTCCTTTGCATAGCAGATTTCATTCAAATCTCTCACTCTGTATCAAGGAAGAAATCCGTCAAGTGTACCATTTTTTAGAACTGAGTGTGGTAAAATATCTCAAAGAACCACCTTTGAGTACACAACTACCTTCCTCCTGACTTGAAGCTTCTGAACTGTCCTCCTTGAAGTGTTCTGGTGTCTTAACCGTCTTCAAAGAGGGTTGTAAGTTACCTGCAGAGAATAAAGTTCATGTAGTAACTTTATAGATCTTGAACAACTGGACAGTTCCTGAATGCTTGCACTAAATTGGAAGCTAGGGAAATGGAAGACTGAACCTATTGGTTTGTGTGTGGCAATAGTTTGAACATCGCCTGCTTCAAAGCAGGTCACCTCCAAGAGTAAAGGCTCTTTAGAGACACTTTTATTTTGAAGAAAATAGTATCTAAAATAATTTTAAAGCTATGGTGCAATTTCAAAACATCTTGATTGTGGTAATATTAGAAATATTCCTATTATGCTGCACTTCAGGCTTGGCTTTATAATTTTTTTTTTGTTTTACAACAGAAAATGAAAGGAGACCAATGATAGTTACTAGCATTCTTCTTCAACAAATTACACTACTCCATTGTCAAATCATTCACCTGCCAAAAGACAACTAGTCTGGGCTAAAGTCTTCTAGCGCCCTTAACACAGTCTTCACACACAATTTTTACCTTTTCATGCCAGATGGGATGAAAAAAAGAGAAGGAACAATATTAACAGTTTTGCTGGAAAAATACCACTGCCGAGCTCTGATAAAGGACTTAGTTTAATAATGAATCTAATTCTAGGAGTCTACTCTTTCCCCCTCAAAAAGTTCCGAGTTACTGCAGGTAAAAGCATCTGAAAGCTGTTGCGTAGGAGCTTGAAACACTTGATGGGAAGATCCTTCTGGATATTGTCTGCATTGAAGGTACTAAATCCTCAGAGATCACGTTCTAATAAAGTCTGTTGGAATCAAAAGTCTATTCCAACCTGAGTAAGTGTTTAACAACTCATGTTATGAACCAGGAGGGAGCTAATTGATTTCCTCCTTAATGGAACCACAGTGGCATAGTTAAACTTACTGAACATATTATTCAGTGTGAGATCCCAAGTATTATTTAAGGTATAAAGACCTGTTTAGCAGGATTCCAGGAAACCCAAACAATAAACCCAGAAAAACACAGGCCAACAATAAAAAAACCCTTCATGAGCCACTCAACTGAAGTGATTTTGGCAACAGGTGGGATGAGTACTTTTGTCTTAGTACAGCTTCTATTAGCCTGTATCACAGGAAACGGGATTGCAAGCTACCCCTGATGAGTCATTCATACTTAAATTTACCCCACTAATTCTCTTCCTCAAATGTTGTCTTAATATCTAACTCAGTGTCAGGGTCTTTTGGGTTGGGAGTCACACATCTGAGCTCAGGCCCTTGGCTGGGCTGCACTGCAGGTACACCTGTGCCTGGCCCTGTACTTTGCTGATCCTGTTCTTAACCCTGACCTACTGACCTTTTTTTCTGCCTTGACCTCAGACCTGTCTCACTGCTTTGGACTTGTCTGTAATCACCAGGTTCTTGCCTGCCCCTGGTCCTCATAACAAGTTAAGCCTAGTGCTTTCTGTCCAAGAGAACAGATTGTGCTCTTTATGACTCTTTGGTATTTGAAAATTTAAATCATCTTCCATTTGAGTCTTTCCTCCTCTCTATGAAACAATCAAGTTCCTATCACATGTTCCAGTCTGACAAATCCTCATGCACTTTCATGTACCCTATTATTTATTATTATAAAAATTATCCCTTATTTATGATCCCTTTACAACCTGTAAGACTTCCTACACAATTGGCATTTGCCTATTTTACCCTTCTGATCTACCTATTCTGCAGATCATTTCTGCCCTACACTAGCCCAAAAGTCAAAAAAGCCCCTACAGGCCTCCACCCTGATCACAATGCCTCTATCTCCTCATGGAAAGAATACATTTGTCACAGATCGCACACATCAATTCAAATTAAACTCAGCTGTCATTCCCCTATTTTTTTCCAAATACATTCGAGCAGTCTGTTTGAAATCTCCAACTTATTCAATTCCTTACGAAGATCTTCTTCAACTTCTGAGGCAGTGGCCTCATAGTCAATGCCTTAACTATCATGGTGCATTACATGCACTGAAAGAAGAAAAGACTCCACAGAAACAAAGATCACATCTGAAGGCATCCACAGAGAGAAGCCAAGCTTTGGTTGTACAAACAATTTGTAATACATAAGTTGGTAAGAGGTTCACCAAAGAAATCTCTGCAATACCAGTGCTCAGAATACAATTCCGTATGTTCTGAAATTAGGGCCATCCCACTACTTACGTACTATGTACCCCCAAAAAATCTCAGTTTAAATATCAAGACAGATGCTTAATCTATAAAAGAAAACAAAAGCTTGGGTCAGCTCAAGCTTTTTGTTCTGAAGTTTAAGATACGGTTAAAGAAGAAGTGCCAAACTGTTGAACATACTCAATTCATAACTATCTGTTTTAATAGCAAATGGTACAGAGGAAAAGAAAGAAAGAAAAGAACATAAACTGATGAAATATAGCATGTTGCCATTGTCAAAATTCAGAGTATCTGCTCTAGGAACTATTCATTGGCCAGGAGTTCATATACAACCAGTGGAATATAACGCATCATGAATACAAGATTATAAAACTCTAATTAGGCATGACAGCAAGAATACTTTTTATAGACTTTTTGTTATATAAAACAGTATTAGGGTATTTCTTACTGTGAGTGTGCAAAGATTCTGATGAAATTGATTGGAAGAAGTTGTATACTCTCTGATTCTGCAGAAAAGCTTGTGATGTATTTGAAAATAGCTGCCTGAAATTTAAGTGAGAATTTGTTAAACTGTAAATAATAGAATCATCAAAAGAACACAAAAAATTACAAAAATTACAACAGTACCACTGAAAAGCAAAATAGGTAGTTCTTAAGAAGTCCAAACATTTCAAATTGTATATTCAGAATAAACAACATTAAATGTTACTTTTGAGCTTTGCTGTTCAGTTCTAGTACAAGGCTGGAGCACAGCCAGTATAAGAAATTGGTATGATGATTTTTTTTTTCTTGTTTTTTTAATTTAAAAAGGTAGATGCTTTTGAGCCATCCCAATTCAAACATTTTAGCCACTCGTAACATTTTGTCAAAGAGGAGTTTGGACTGAGTCCAAAAGCACTGGACCTTACATTTTAACTTTTTTTTTTTTTTTTTTTTTTTTTTTTTTTTTTTTTTTTTTTTTTTTTAACTGAGAATGCATTTAAATTCCCAAAACAACACACCTCTTTCTTAAAACACATTTATATGGTTAAATACAAAGCTGAATTTATCTAAAATGTCAGTATTTTAATTTTAGAGCAAAGGGTAGGATTCTCAGTATTGCTCTGCACTGGTCTGAGTCTGTCCCCAAGGGGTCAGTGACAAATTCTATTTAGCTTCAGATAAGACAACAGGCCAAGAATGAATGATTTTCACTTCCCACACGCCAAGGTTTCAGTTATTACTTGCCAGGAAACACTACCCAGTTCTATTTCTTTGGAGGAGAGGCAGGGGAGAGCAATTTTTTGACTACTGGGCACATATTTAAACCCCCAAATAAGTATATATTTATGCTAAAATTGACACTGAAAGAAAAAAGGAATTTGTATATAGTAATTCTATTTTCTTGAGATTATTCATGTAGCATTCCTGCATACTCACAACATAACTTGCAAATTGTAATTATAGTTGCTTACTATAATACAGTTGGGTGTATTCAAAGGTTATATTCAAAGTGAGTCTCTCGGGTTCGTAATTACTGTGCAGTGAGGCTCTGCAACCTTTCTGTATTACAATACATTCCCTTCAGTCAACCTCTATTTAACAGGTTTATTGATTTAAACCCACTGTGTTTTTTAGCCAAAATTGTTCACACAGATTCAGTTTTTGGCTTGACAATCAAGCCAATAAAGACATACAAAAACTACAGATAAAAATGTAAAAAAATAAAAAAATTGGGTAGGGGGAGGTTGAGGCACAGAGTGGCTCTGTATATTCTTTAACTAAAATATTAGGACAAAATGTTTGGACCCACAGAACATTATGAGTTGGAGTTTGAAAAGCAGTGCCTGATTCTTCAAGTACTCCAACTCAAGAGACAGGGCTAACATGATGAATAATTTGTTTTCAACTAGGCTGAACAATTCTGACAGAAAAGGACCAACATAATAAGATATCTGTAGCAAACAAACAGAACAGGTAAGCACCCCCAAATTCACATTCCTACTCTGAGTTACAGGATTTGACCAACATGTCCCACATCCCAGTAAGCTCTCTCATCAATATATAGTAGGTTATGTGGTATGGGCCATTTTCTTACAAACATGTGAGCTACTTCTAATATACATGCTTCTTATATACATGTTTCACTATTACTGTTTATTCCTTTAAAATTCTCTATCCTGTCATAAAAGTAAAACATATGCACTCGAGTTACTGTTTCTAGTATTTGTAAATATACACTGTATAATGGAGTTATATCCTTGCAGAAGTGCCAATCACTGCTATATTATGCTGCTCAGGACAATATTTTTGTAACTGTAAAATTATTCCTAAGAACTAAGTTAACTAAGTTTAATAAAAGTCTCAATTTAAAGAAAAGAGAAAAAGAGTCTAGAGTATCTATTTCATCACTGCGTTCCCATTTTCTTCATAAATTGTATTTTGGCAGCAGAATTTCCACTGTCATGTGGTTTGATTTCAATCACTTTCCAAGTGATGCATTTCGGGCTATTTCTTAAAACATTTACCTGATTATGGGCTCAAGATCAGCATGCCTTCGTTCTTCCCTCTTCTGAAAACCCTGATTTAGTGCTCTTAAAATAGTCTTGTCAAATGCTTCAGAAGACAGTTCCTTTGGGAGCTGAGAAAAAGGTTAATACGAAAAATGAGTAGTTGACATTTTGTTCACTTTAAGTCTACATACCTTTTGGTATCAACAAGAAATTCTGTTGTTCCAGTTTGAGGTACAACAAATCAACATCATGTAGTTTTGCAAGAGAAATGCTTTGCTGTAAATCCTCATGGCAAATCCAGACATAAAACAGTTTAAAGCTCTATCTGAATTACATTCAGAAAATTACCAATACTATGTTCTTTCCCAGAATAGTTTACAGCCATTTTTGATTTATTTAAATCCTTCACACACATAAATTAGGTCTGAAAATAACATGAAAAAAATGACCACAGAGGACTGAATGCACTGTACTATCATTGCTTATCTATATAAAACTATTTTAAAGGAACAGGAGTAGAAAAGAGACTGTTTCATATAATATACTAGACCCCAGTTTGTAGTTGCCTATCTCCAGGCAATATTGACATTAATCAATAGCAAGTCCCTGTCCAGCTACTATTAACACTGAAACTTCTTATCAAAATTCAGTATAACTGTTTCCAATGCCAGTACTACAGGTCTTCTGATGTTCAGCAAGAAAAATTCTTGCTACTAAAGAGCATGTCTATTTTAAAAGAAAAATATTCCCCACAACAAAGTTTTTTTCAAATTTACAACTTCCAAAATAATGTACTTAGATACATCAAAGCTGATCGAATTTGTTCATCTATATTTTTTTAAAGGAAAGTATTTTAATTTTGGGGCAATTAAAAGTAAACTGCCATGGCAAAAATGCTTTTTTACTAAGGTTCAAAGCTATTGCTAATGTGGTTAACATCTACCACCAGTTATGATCAACAGCACAAAGTAATTTACATTAAAGCAGCATCTTCCTCTTGTATATTTGGAATACACCTGATCCAGAGTGCCAGCTGGATATTACATCCTGCTTGTGGTACAACAGCACAGCACTAAGTAATCCTTTCACCAAATGCTGTGTCTGATGTAGATAACTGCATGGTAACATAAATAAAAGGGACCCCTGGAATGGAGACAGACAGGTGCTGTTAGTATTAGATTAGTACAGTGCTATAGCACCTGAAATGTCTTAGATGTAAACCAGAAAGAAGGGCTGAGAGCAGCTGTTCTTAACAGACCCTTTGGCTTTAATATGCACCACCGTGGAACTCTGACTGAAGAATTAGTCAGTATTAACTAAAAGGTACTAAAAAGTTCCTGCAGAAGCATGGGAATGAGCAAACCTCCTGTCGCAGTGTTTTGTATGTAAATTTGTCTCTGGAAAATTATCAACTTTTATTTTCTTTAAGACTTTCATTAAGATGAATGCAATTCCTTCTGTAGTTAAAGATTCACTTATACAAAACTAAGATTAGGGGCTTAACTTAACTTCAGCTAATGAGATAGCCTGGTTACTTACAAGCTTATTAATCCTCCACATAATTTCCTACATGCAAAGACCTTTTCATGCTTATCACCTAAGAGAAAGTGCTCTGTAAATATAAGGCATCCAAGTTTTCCCATCTACTACATTTCCCACCAATGCTTCTATTCTGAAACAATTTTTCCAATTATCTTACTTCTATCACAAGCAACCTTGGAATTTTCCATCAAGTATTTTGACCATTCATTTCTGTCCCTAGGAAATGAGCATACTACTTAACAACGCCACACAGACTTGAAGCAAGAATAACAAAAAGCCAAAATGCAAGTGCATATGAAGTGGACAGCATTCATACTTCATGTTTTTTAAAGCAAGGAGTAAGTTTTATCCTGCTTTACTTAACAATTCTCTTTCTTCTATATTTATGGCCATCAAACCAACACAAATCATATATATTTTTCAGCTGTGCACTTTTTCCACAGAACATCTCAGCAAGCTCACAGCACTTGTTGTTGTCTTCCTTTTGTTCTGCCATCTCCTATATACCTAGACTCTGCACACAGAACACCCTACACCTGTCAAACAGGACAGGTCTGCAACATCCTAGATCCTGTCTGTTTTTCTTGCTTCTCCTCCTGGCAGCAAGTAGGTTTAGGAGGTCCTTTTCAGACACCGATGTTTGTCTTACACAGGTAGGTAGGAGAACATGAGGTGTGCAGCTGAATGTTCATCCCAGAGCTGTGCAGGATCCTGCATGACAGATCTGCTTTCAGGGTTTTCTTCAGGAGCAGATGCATGTACCCTATGTTGCAGGATAACCCAGCTGCAACCACACATGCTGCCCCTAATTCAAATCCTCACAAATCAAGCTCTGGGAACTCTTGGAATTAGATATTCCAACTAGATTAAAACAGTTGTGAATACTCACTTCTTCATTTCTACAAAGCCTGAAAATAATGTTAATAATTTAAACAGTGAACAAGACAACGACCTTTGTACAGTCACTGGCTTTTCACTTGCAAGTAACACTGCAGTTAAGAACACCAGATGCCATCAAACTATGTCCGAAGCAGAGCTTTCATTAGTGCCCAGAAGAGTTTACATACAGAATTTCCCAGAATAGGTGGGACCCAAAATATTAGACACTGGCAATGAAACATACAGCTGGAGGTCATCATGCAGATGGGGTCTGCACATGGCCTATGCACACAAACACATTCCCTGCTTGGGACAGGGGAGAATACAATGGAGAAAATTTTTAGGTTTTTTAACCAAGCACACATAGGCATATATAGTTGATAGATTTTCCTCAAATTTAACTCCCTGTGATAGTGAATAGGCCTGTCTTTGTTCTACTGAAGAATACAACAGTTAAATTTCAAACTGTTATGCTTAGGGCTCTGCCTCACTAATTAAAAATAACAAATGGTACTCTTAAAGGTCATTTTAACGGGGACAGGAATAAGCATACAAGCATGTACCTATACATGAACTCTGTAGGGAGTATTAAAAACTCATCTGGTAGATTTATGGTAGTTCAATTAAAACAGTAAGAGCCATTTCAGATGTCTCCTCCTGGGAAACTACCCAAACATTCTGCAGAGTTGCTTCTTCTCTCAAGATGCGCCATCACAGTATACATGACCTAAATGATTAATACAATTGACCAGTACAAAAATCTGCTAGCGTGCTTTTGTTTCTGTAATTACATCCCAGGAACCTCCTACACCACTTTTGAAGTTACAAACTTCATGTGTAGAGACTACTTTTATATTTCAATACATACTTTTAGCAGGAATTCCTGAAGCTCCTGGTGTGTTTTTGTTACACATGTTACTGAAAGATCCGACCAGGTTACCTAATAAGGAAGGAAAAGAGAATGAGAAAAATTTCTTTTTCCAAATATCATACCAATTAGCTGATCTGAATAATTCCATAATTCTGACAATCTCGGGATAAGAGATAACACTTGCAATTAGGTAAATATCAGACAAAACAGGGATAATGGTGTACTTTTTCAGAGACACTTATTTTGAATGTACATTTTAGGCTCACCTTCATGTTAATTTGTGGCTAAAGGGAGCATGAAAAAAAATCCAGGGAAATGCAATTAATTCCCTGAAGATTACTGACTCAGAAAGAAGCCAGGCAGAAGGCTCCGTAATTACAGGACTTGTATCAGACATTGCTAATCACAAAAAACAGCTACCACAGAAAAGGACTGTAGGTCAGATATCTTGGATTCAGTTCTCACTACCATTATCAGGAGTCAAAATGAAACAGCAAAAAAAATCTGTTTATATTACTTATAAAATAATTTTATCTGCCTCAGACTTGATTCTTACACAGTCATATAAAGTTCTAGACTACAAGTCCTAAAAAGTACTGCAAGCTACTAAAGAAGTTACTCAAGAATCAGACAACACTTTGGTATATGCTTGTATAAAATTTCAGTAGCTTATTGTCCTGACACAATGTGTAAGTAGTAAAACAGCACCATCACAGGCATATTTTGAAAAAAAATAAGTAAGCTTGGTTAGATAAGTGCTGCCCAGCTTTAAGCTCACTTCTGGGCTAAAGATTTCAATTAGTTACATGGGAAGATTTTGTGTAGTGAGAATGGACATGAAAATTATAAACATTCATTTACTCCCAAGAGTGGACAGAATAATGTCATTCCCCAACTGCCTTCAACTTGGTCCCCAAAAACCCCAACTACCCTCAGTGCCCTGCAATTATTGTTATGACCTTAAAAAAGCAGTGTCTGGACAAGCACAAAATGGTCTGTACTGAGGAGCACAGTATATACCTGCACAGATGAGGACAGGAAACTCTTTCCTAAAAGAACTGAGGTGGAAGAGTTTCAAGATTACTGAAATACTTCCCAGAATATTTCCACATTCCTCCTTTAACAAAGAAATTCAAACCCACTGTCAAATCTGTCTATATGCTGAATTTTCAAAAAGGTAAATACTGATAATCCATATAGGATTTCTGTACAAACTTCTCTTATCTACTATTACATATTTCCTAGTAGTCACTTCACAGACTATCTGGAAAAAAGTTCTATGACAAGGCTGAAATATTTAGGTAGGTTAACCTTAAAGACTTTGAAGGCTACATTCCACACATTACTGTCCTCAAATAAAGAAAAGTGCATCCATTTAGAGAATACAATACCAAACTCTGACACATCAACTGTCAGCTCAAAATGGCTTTTTTGTTTTTAACTTTACCTCTTTAAAGATCTCCAATAACCCATGCCAAATGGCCAGTAACAATGTTTGATATAAACCATTATTTTTTGGGTGAAAAAGGGGAACATTTAACTTTATCTTCAAATCTGGAATACTACCAGACTTGCATCTACTGGCAAAATGACTCGTAATGTTAATCAGCCCTTACTAAGAAAATTACTACTTTGATTCAATTAGAACATCACCACCAACAGCCTTAGCAGCTATTATTTAACACCTACAGTCTTTAACACCAGACCTCAGCACCGAAAGTTTCTCTTACGTAGTAGTAAGAAGCCGCATTTCAGTTTTAAAATTCACCCACTAATTGTTTCACATGCTGCCCTCAGCTATTACAATACATGAAGACTATATGAGGTAGGCCTTCCAGTTTGTGGCCATTTTCCAGCTTGTTTGCTTTTACCTAAACAAACAAATAAATGAGCCAACTCCCAGTTTTCTCAAAAAGCAAAAGAGCCATCCTCATATGGTAAACATCCAGAAACCAGATCAAAGATGACCATATGACTCCAAGCAATATATAGCTGCAGACACAAGAACTGTGCTCCTATGCCACTGGAGCAAACAACTGACTAATGTTAGAAATCTTACACTGAAGCCAAGTTTCCTGGAATGGTATCACATACCCAGCTATGGCTGGTGTTTTACATCTTCCCACCTTATGGCCACAATTACATAAAACATCTGATTTGCACACAGAAATCAAAGGAATTATAGGATAATTCAAAAAATCTCAAAATTGCCTTCTGAGCTGGTATTTGAAAGAAGCTACATGTATTTATGGCACACAGATATCATGAAGACAATTATTTTAATATTCTGGACATTATTTGCTTACTTTGAATGTGTACTCCAAATGTTTGTCAGCCCTTTTTCTTGGTACTCCTTTCAGGGTTATCTTCTCAATGTGTACAGCTGAAAGAAAAACACCTTATTGTGCACTCCAAAACAACAGCCTGAAACCATTCCCTACTTCCCCAGGCACTCTGAGCACGCCTGTAAGCTACTCCCTGACTCACACAGCCCTGCTCTTCTTCAGGACCTGTTTTATTGTAACAAACTGCCGGGGGGCAGGTACAACCTTGTTCTCTCAAGTATTTCCCTGCCCTAACCAAAATCTATTCAGTGAAGATCACGGGAATCTGTGCATTATCCAAGAGATTATTCAGACCAAAAGTCACACAACTACAACAACACAACCACTATAAATGAAAAGACAATAAAAGGAAGTAAAATTGCATCTTTACTCAAGAAGTAACAAGTGCTGAGAAAAGCGAGAGACAGCGTCTTCCCACCCCCACTGATGAAACATCGAGTAATAATGAAGACAAACTAAGGCCAAAGAACTCCATTTCTGAAGGGCACTTAGGTGAAAGGAAAGAGTTGGGGAAGGCCTGAAGGAGACAGAAATGCGTGTTGACAAACAGAAAACGAAGAGAAGCAGCACAAGGCTACTTCAAATCATACTGTAAAGAGTGTCAATAAACTCAACTGAAATGGAAGAAAGGTACTCTAAATACTTGCTGCTTTAACATTCTTTCCCCATAGTCTACTCAGAAATAGGCAAGTTCTGGCTGTGACTTGGCAAGCAGCAGCACCATATGGCTTTCAGGGCCTGGAGATTTTCTTGCAAGCACACAACGTTGTTCAGGTAATACTCCACCCTTATGTAGCTGAGATGAGCTTTTTACTTTTGCTGCTATGCTGGCCTAAGAATTCAACAGAATTTTATTCCAGTACAAGCCTGAACAAACCTTTACGTGTAAAAAAAATTTATTTAAAAACAGCTTGACCTGCACTACACCATCAATGCTTCCTTTAGAAGCTTTCAAAAATTTTTGGAGGGAGGTGGGTCATGTTAATAGCTAATGTTTTCCTTTTGATTTTTATCTACTATTTTTAAGCAGTTTTTTGGGAACTACTCATAACAACAATATTTTTTCTTAAAAAAATAAACCTCCTGTAAGCGTATGTTACAAAGCTTATTCTTGGATATTACCATGTAATACAAGGTAAACGCTTTTTAATTAATTTTGTTGA